ACAAATTAGCAGTCATGCTCTCGCTGGCCTTTTAACTGTAGTCATGTAGCTTAAAAGGGCCAATTATGGGGGGGGGGGGTGTCTTATGTTTCAGTCCCCTCTTTATGAAATTTTGAGTTTTCAGCAGTCTTTCATCAATGTGTGGAGACATAGAGTAGGTAGGGACAGCTAACAAATTGTTTTCAAGTAGAGATAGTTACTGCTATACAGGCTGAATTTAAACCTATACAGTACTATATACTATACAGTGTTGTACTATGCTGCATTACAACCAGAGCACATATAAGAGGTTGAGCAGTGGCTAACCAAGATGATCCTCACTGAGCAGTCAACTGATAGTGACCTGAGCTGAAGCAGAAAAAGCCAAAATGTTGCTGCATTGTGAGCGAAGCAGCTGTCAAAACACAAGCTCATGCACAGTCAGAAGCACAAGTTGCTCATGCAAAAGCATAAGCTGCCCAATGTTGTGCAAAAGCATATGCTGACCAACCTTGTGCACTAACAGAGACACAAACTACACAGGCATGAGTAAAAGAAAAATTGGAAGCTGCCCAGACAGTAAAATAAAGTATTGAGTACAGGCCAGAGAAGAAGTTTCTCAGTCAGAAAGCCAGATAAGCGGTGGAGGACAGATTTTCTGAAGGAAGGAAAATAATCTACAGCCTCAACTAAGCTCACAGCCTTGGAACACACTGTTGAAAAAGAATTTCATTGCCCCATTTTTAAGGCCTCTGATGACACTGCAAGATGGACCCTGAAATTCATTATAATCCAGAAACATGTCAACACAATTTCACAAAACATTTCAAATCCTGTATTTCAACCCAATACATACATACAATCAAACACACATTGGACAATTTTCTATCTCCCAAAATTCTAACATCCTATGCAGTAACACATGTGCCATAACAGACTATCCTAAATCCTACTGACCAAATCACGAAAAAATTCCAAAAAAACAGTAACTCAGTTCTTGAGACCCACATCTCAAGAACCCCAGATGTCAAGCCTTCACCTGGACTGAACCCAACCACTATTTCGTTCTCTCACCAAAACATCAGGTATTGGATACCCCCTAAAGCAACAGTGAAGGAGCACTTGTCATGACTAAGTCTGAAAGATATGATACATCAGACTTTGCTAAGCACATGACTCACACAACTTACTATAATATAATACAGACCTTACAAAATTGACAATTACCCAGCGATCTACTGCAATTATAAGTTCAGACTTAATCATAGCATCCCACCTATGCAAGAACTTGATATGTTGATAAAATGGCTAAAAGACTTAAAATTGTTTGCATCCATGAATTAAAGGCTTTACTCTAGCATGGAAAATTTCCAAAAACTGTGTAATCATCTTGTTGAGTTTAAAATTGCCAAGGAAGACCTGCATATACCAGGTCATAGCTACCTAGACACTGCACATGGTGTAAGCATCTATGAAAAATGGGCAACAATGGGCTCAAGTTATAAAGAAGAATGTCAGGTCCAAGGGCGGACTGACAACTCATGGGGCCCCGGGCAATAGTGTCAGGGCAGGGCTGTGGAACGGACAGGTAGGCCTAGTGGCAGGGTAACGCACTGGCTGACGACAACCACCACCAACAGACCGAAGTCCCTCAGGGCGCGGAGTCTAAGTCCCAGGCTGCCCTTCACCAGGGCCCCTGATGGTGGGGATGGACTTGACGCACCCAGGAACCAGGTCGCGGCCCCTGAGACACCCGGCTGCGGTAATGGCCGCCGCCAATGGCGTGTAGCTGGTGAGAATGACAATGCGTAGTCAGGCAAGCTGGGTCAACAACAACGGGACAAAACAGTACAGAACAGTAGACAGAGAATCACAGGTCATGGGCCGGGTTCAGCAACGGAAGGTCAGATCGAAGGAAAACACAGAGAATGGTCTAGTCACAAGCCGAGTCAAATACCAGAAGAGTCACGAGCATATACACAGAGCTGTAGCAAGACAAAGACACAAGACACAAGTGCAAAGAGCATGTGCGGATCACAGGCTTATATGTACTCAGCCCACACCCCTCTGGGGGATGGACCTCAGGGACCTGAAGGCATAAAAGCTTCCCACCATGCTCAGCATAAATCCAAGATGGATGCCAGCACATGGAGTAACATAACCTCTGGGAAAAGGTAGGACCTTGACAAATAGGGAATCATGGGGCCCCTGTGTCCTTGCCTAAACTCAAAAAAGCCTATGAAAAAGGTACCAGGGGTATCTCATGGGGCCCCCTACTGACCCCGGGCCCTCAGGCAGTGCCCGAGTTTCCAAATGGTCAGTCCGCCCCTGGTCAGGTCTCTTTTCCACCATCCTCCTTTTCAGAGTTCATCAAAGGTTTATCCAGAGACAAAAATAATCCAAGCTTCACAAATCTTGACTTTAGCAATCCTAGCCCATCACCTACAAGAATAGAAAAGTTCACCACTAAATTATACCTACTACAAGCAGCAACAGCAAGAAAAGATGAAAGGACCTAAACACCCATTGCCTCATTCACGACAAAGCATATGCTTTCAGGAACTATGCTATTCACCTCAGATGTTTTTCTATCATAGGACACTTTGTGAGAGACTGCAAAGTTGTCATTAAGTGCTTAGAATGCAACAGTGACATGCACGTATCAATCTTACAACAAGACCCCATTTAAATGAGACTCTACAACCACTGTTCTTACACTTGAGCTAGATCATAATGGGTATAGCCACAAACAGTCACCTCCAATGATTACATCAAAATGAAGTGAGCTACGTCACATAGGACTTACAGGTCTAGGTGTTTCCTCCAGGTCAGCTAAAAAAAAGCTGTCAGGATGTCAAACTTCTGAAACCTTTAACAACTTGCCTACAGGGCACTTACAGTTGCAAGAAAAAGTATGTGAACCCCTTGGGATTATGTGGAGTTTTGCATGAATTGGGCATAAAATGTGCTCTGAACGTCATCTAAGTCACAACAATAGAAGAACACAGTCTGCTGAACATAATACTACACAAACTTTAGATGTTGCCATGGTTTAATTGCACATAACATGTAAACATTCACAGTGCAGGGGAGGAAAAGTATGTGAGGCCCTAGCTTAATGACTTCTCCCAGAGCTAATTGGAGCCAGGAGTGAGCAAACCTTGACTCCAATCAGTGTGATGATATTGGATGTGTTGCTGACAGCTGTCCTGCCCTTAAAAAAACACACACCTGTTTTGGGTTTACTGGTTTCCAGAAGCACTGTCTGATGTGAACCATGTCTCGCAGAAAAGAGCTCTCAGAAGACCTACGATCAAGAATTGTTGATTTGCATGAAGCTGGAAAGGGTTACAAAAGTATCTCCAAAAGCCTTGATGTTCATGTGTCCACGGTAAGACAGACTGTCTACAAATGGAGAAAGTTTAGCACTGTTGCTACTCTCCCTAGGCGTGGTCGTCCTGTAAAAATGACTGCAAGAGCACAGCGCAGAATGCTGCATGAGGTAAAGAAGAATCCCAGAGTGTCAGCTAAAGACCTACAGAAATCTCTGGCACATGCTAACATTTTTGTTGACACATCTACAATAAGGAAAACATTAAACAGGAATGGAGTACATGGGAGGACACCACGGAGGAAGCCATTGCTGTCCAAAAAAGAATATTGCAGCACGTTTGAAGTTTGCAAAAGAGCACCTGGATGTTCCACAGCACTACTGGCAAAATATACTGTGGACAGATGAAACCAAGATTGAGTTGTTTGGGAAGAACACACAACACTATGTGTGGAGAAAAAAAGGCACAGCACACCAACATCAAAAACCTCATCCCCACTGTAAAACATGGCGGTGGGAGCATCATGGTTTGGGGCTGCTTTGCTGCCTCAGGGCCTGGACGGATTGTTGTCATTGATGGGAAAATGAATTCCAGAGTTTATCAAGACATTTTGCAGGAAAACGTATGACCATCTGTCCGCCAACTGAAGATCCACAGAGGATGGGTGATGCAACAGGACAATGACCCAAAGCATACAAGTAATTCAACAAAACAATGGCTGCAAGAGCACAGAATACGCCTTCTGGAGTGGCCCAGTCAGAGTCCTGACCTCAACCCGATTGAAATGCTGTGGCATGACCTTAAGAGAGCGATTCACACCAGACATCCCAAGAATATTGCTACACTGAAACAGTTTTGTGAAGAGGAGTGGTCCAAAATTACTCCAGATTGTTGTGCAGGTCTGATCTGCAACTACAGGAGACGTTTGGTTGAGGTTATTGCTGCCAAGGAGGGTCAACCAGTTATTAAGTCCAAAGGTTCACATACTTTGTCCTCCCTGCACTGTGAATGTTTACATGTTATGTACAATTAAACCATGGCAATATCTAATGTTTGTGTAGTATTATGTTCAGCAGACTGTGTTCTTCTATTGTTGTGACTTTGATGACGTTCAGAGCACATTTTATGCCCATTTCATGCAAAACTCCACGTAATCCCAAGGGGTTCACATACTTTTTCTTGCAACTGTATACCCCCTTCCTGCCCAGGCCAATTTTCAGCTTTCAGCGCTGTCACACTTTGAATGACAATTGCACGGTCATGAAACACTGTACCCATATGAAATTTTTATCATTTTTTTTGAGGCAGATAGAGCTTTCTTTTGGTGCTATTTAATCACCTCTGGGTTTTTATTTTTTCTTAAACAAACCAAAAAACACTGAAAATTTTTACAAAAAATGTTTTTTCTTAGTTTTTGTTATAACATTTTGTAAATAAGTGATTTTTCTCCTTCACTGATGTGCACTAATGGGCTGCAGTGATGGGCACTGATAGGCTGCACTGATAGACACTGATAGGTGGCACTGATGGGCACTGATGAGGAGGCACTGGTAGGTGGCACTGAAGGGCATTGACAGGCATCACTGATGGGCACTGAAAGGCAGAACTCATATATGGCACTGATATGCAGCACTGATAGGTGGCACTGATAGACAGCACTGACTGGCACTGAGAGTCGGCACTGCCTGGCATTGTTAGGTGGCACTGACTTGCACTTTTAGGCGTCACTGATAGGCAGCACTGATGGGCACTGATAGGCAGCACTAACTGGCACTGATAGGCGGAACTGACTAGCACTGATAGGTGGCACTGACTGGCACTGCTAGGCGGCACTGATTGACATCACTGATAGGTGGCACTGACTGACACTGATAGGTGACACTGAAAGGCAGCTCAGATGGGCACTGATAAGTGGCATTGATGTGCACTGGTAGGCACTGATATGTGGCATTGATGAGGCACTGATGGGCACTGGCAGGTGGCATGGATGAGCACTGACAGCTGGCACTGATGGACACTGACAGGTGGCACTGCTGGAGCTACACTGATCATCAGTGCCCTGATGATCAATGCACATGTCCCTTCTGAGGGATGCCGATTACCGGCTCTGCTCTCCTCTCGAGCTGTCATCATGACAGCTCGTAAGGAGAGAAATGCCGATAACCGGCATTTCCCTATTTACATGAGATCAGCTGTGATTGGACATAGCTGATCAGATGACCGAGCCAACATCTACGGCTCTTTCCCATGATCGCACCACGATCGCAGCACTGCGTGCTCCTGGAGCCGCACATGCGCGGTTAGATTGGGAGGACATCATATGACATCCTCCTAGAACGAGAGAACCGCCTTGCGCCCGTCATTACCTTATATGGCGGGCGGGATGCGGTAATGTAAAGAATGACATTATTTTGTAAATTTTTCACTACGCTTATGGCATGAAATCAAGTACCTACATATAGAGATAAGTTCCTTACACCAAGGTCATGTGTGTTCCATTGATATGACTAGTTACATCTTACCAGTTAATAATGCTGCTTCGCCAAATTCATGCTTCTGCTGAGAAGAGACATCCAAAAAGTGTGTAAAATACATGAACAATGGTTATATTGATAGTATCTATGCCCAAAGGACTGAGCTAGGCTCAAACAGCATGCATACTTGTAAAACTATTGTCAAAAGAGTTCACAACACCCTGTTAATCCCTCAATACCCATGCTACGGGAACCCAAATGAGATGCCAATGCTGACAAAGAGAATTCTTGTGAGTGATCAAGTCTATGAGAAAATCATCTGACCTCAATGTTAGTGAAACATCACCTCAAACTACAACTGACATCAGCAAAATGGAAACTTCAACAGGTAACTAGGACTCTTTCAAGATCTGCACAACAATAGTGATGCTTGTGAATTCATTGAAGAGTGTAACTAGTGACTCTTAAGTCACTGTCCAGTAAATACTACTGTGTTGCTCAAAGAGGACCAGCTGCAAATTCAGGTTACTCCTGTCATCAACAAAACAGTAATGCTTTTTTCACAAGAATCTCAATGAAAGCTCCAAAGACTAGAGATGTGCACAATGGCAAAATGTGTTTGTTTCAGTTTCATTTGTTTGAGTAAATTATTTTGTTTCATTATAACCGTTGTGTTAGAGAGGAGAAGGAGAAGGATGAGAAGAAGGAGAAAGGAGAAGGATGAGGAAGAAGAGAAGGATGTGAAGAGAAGGAGAAGGATGAGAAGAAGGAGAAGGAGAAGATGAGAAGAAGGAAAAGGAAAAGGGGAGAAAAGATGGAAAAAGGGAAGGATGAGAAAAAGGGAGAAGGGAAGGATGAAAGAAGAAGGAAAAGGAAAAGGGGTGGAAAAAGGAGAAGGATGGGGAAGAAGGAGAAGGAAAAGGGAAAGGAAAAGAAGGAGAAGGAAAAAGGATGGGGAAAAAGGGAAAAGGGATGAAAAGGAAGGAGGAAGTAGAAGGGAAGGAGAAGGATGGGGAAGAAGGAGAAGGATGAGAAGAAGGAAAAGGGGATGAGAAGAAGGATGAGAAAAAAGGGGGAAGGTTTAGAAGAAGGAAAAGGGAAAGAGAAGAAAAAGGGGATGGGGAAGAAGAAAAAAGGGGTGAGAAAAGGGAGAAGGTGAAAAGAAGGAGAAGGTTTTGAGAAGAAGGAGAAGGATGAGAAAAAGGGAGAGAAGAAGGAAAAGGGGGATGAGAAGAAGGAGAAGGAAAGGAGAAGGGATGGGGAAGAAGGAAAAGGGATGAGAAGATGGGAGAAGGAGAAGGATGCGAAGAAGGAGAAGGAGAAGGATGAGAAGATGGAAAGGGAAAGAAGGATGGAAAAAGGGAAAGGAAGGGTGAAAAGAAGGAAAAGGGAAGGATGAGAAAAAGGAAAAGGAAAAGGGATGGGGAAGAAGGAGAAGGATGAGAAGAAGGAAAAGGGAGAAGGAGGGAGAAAAAGGGAGAAGGATGAGAAGAAGGAGAAGGATGAAAAGAAGGAGAAGGATGAGAAGAAGGAAAAGGATGGGGAAGAAGGTGAGAAAAAGGGGATGAGAAGAAGGAGAAGGATGAGAAGAAGGATGAGAAAAAGGGAAAGGAAGGGATGAAAAGAAAAAGGATGAGAAGAAGAAAAGGATGTAAAGAAGGAAAAAGGGTGAGAAAGA